AAAGGCTTTACCACACTGATTATATTCAAAGGGTTTCTCTCCAGTATGTGTTCTTGTATGCACTTGAAGATGACTATGTTGTGCAAAGGTTTTACCACATTTATTGCATTCATAGGGTTTCTCTCCAGTATGTATTCTTTTATGTATTTGGAGATGACTATGCTGTGCAAAGGATTTACCACACTGATTACATTCATAGGGTTTCTTTCCAGTATGTGCTCTTTTATGCATTTGAAGACCACTGTGTTGTGCAAAGGCTTTACCACATTGTCTACATTTATAGTGTTTCTCTCCAGTGTGTATTTCTTTATGCTTTTGAAGGTAACGGTGACATGCAAAGGCTTTACCACACTGCTTACATTCATAGGGTTTCTCTCCAGTATATGTTCTTATATGAATTTGAAGAGTATTACGATAAGCAAAGGCTTTACCACACTGGTTGCACTTATAGGGTTTTTCTCCAGTATGTATTCTTTTATGCACTTGAAGACTACTATGACGTGTAAAGGCTTTACCACACTGATTGCATTCATAGGGTTTCTCTCCAGTATGTGTTCTTTTATGTGTTTGAAGATGACTGTGCTGTGCAAAGGCTTTACCACAATGATTACATTCATAGTGTTTCTCTCCAGTATGTGTTCTTTCATGCACTTGAAGATTACTGTGATATACAAAGCCTTTACCACACTGATTACATTCATAGGGTTTCTCTCCAGTAGGTGTTCTTTTATGCCTTTGAAGATGACTGTGTTGTGCAAAGGCTTTACCGCATTGAGTATATACAGGTTTCTCTCCAGTTTGGCTTCTTTCATGCCTGCAAGGATAATTGGCACATGTAAAAGCTTGACCAAATTGAATACACTGTTGATATTTTGTATCTGTATGATTTAATTTTACAATTTGGTACAATTATAAAGAAGAATCAGATATTAAGGTTTTAAAACTGTGTTTACACTCATGTTGTATTTACACAGTCCTATAACTCATAGGGCTTTTCTGTAGCATGAGTTTGTTGATGTATTAACAATGAAGCTAAAAAGCAATTACTTGTATTCTTGAATCAAATTCAAAAGGTATATTCAGTGTGGAGACTAATACACATTTTCTAATTGTACTAAGAGAAAGGAATGTTATATTTTTCTGTGTCCCTCTGATCCTATGGCTTATATCCAGAGTGGCATATGATATACATAGTTAAGGAAGAATAACAAAAGGTTTCCATATTGAATTCTGTTTGACTTTCTGTCCTCATAAACTTGTGCTATAGGGATTAAAGTTTTTGCATGACAATACCCCTTGATTCTTGACTCTAAAGGCCCCTCTCACTAAACAGCACAGTCATAACAAGTATATGAGCAAAACTAGCTTTATTATGGACTCTTTCTTATTAAAATGTTTTGGAGATATACTTATCACTTCTTCACTGTGTATACCTTTTGTCATATGAGTAGGATGAAATAAATGGATTGACAGTTCTACAGCATAGCTCTCATGGTGCTATGATTCAATTGGTAATATCTGTGGAGGCATTATCTCCTTGTCTTCTTTTTTAAAAGAATGCCTTGTAAATGCAATTCACCTACGTAAAATTGAGGTTCTGTGAGAACTTCATAATCATCAATGTACTGTAAGCAGTGGTTATTTACACTGTTGCTTTTGTTTAAAACCTCCAAGACACATTACAATTTCTTTAAAGGCACATTTATATCAGTTTGCACATTAAAATTACCTTCCATATCTTCTACAACTTTGACAATGTTCTTCAATATTATGGTCTTCCCAACTGTATCCTAAAATGTAGCACCAGAAAATTTATATTATATTATTGAAAACTGTGCAAAATTTAAGTTACTATTTTCAGTGAATCTTAGAACCATACCTTACCTTCTTATTTCTCAATCAAATTACCAAAGAGCATCAATAACCAAGGAACAGTTATGCCCCAATTTTAAAATTTGAAGGAAAATTTCATCTTACCTATAATAGTGAGGTTCCTGTACGTCTCCAGCATCACATCTTTATAGAGATTCTTCTGGGAATGATCCAGCAAAGCCCACTCTTCCCAAGTGAAGTCAATATGCACATCATCATAGGTCACTGCATTCTAAAATATCCCATACATTTTTACAAAAGAATGCATGATACTGACAACATTGTAAATGTATACTTCTTTGACAGTATAGTCATATAAATTCTGATTCTCCCCACACTTATTCCATGACATAGACATTATAATGTGATCACCAAGTCACTTTAGAAGGAAACTGAATAGGAGGTTCGCCTCTGTCATTTCTATACTCTTTATATGGGATCTCACCTTGCAAGAAAAATGCCTATTAACAAACATAGACGGACAAGTAAACAGATCAACAGTACAGAGTACACATGAAAGAAATTTTATGAATAATTACTAACTACAAAAAAGAAAAATAAAAGCTGGGCAGTGGTGGCACATGCCTTTAATCCCAGCACTCGGGAGGCAGAGCCAGGTGGATCTCTTTGAGTTTGAGGCCAGTCTGGGATACAGAGTGAGTTCCAGGAAAGGAGCAAAGCTACACAGAGAAACCCTGTCTCAAAAAACAAAACAAAACAACAACAAAAAACAAACAAACAAACAAAAAAAGAAAAATAATATGGAAAACCTAAGTGTATTGCCTCATGCCTTTAACTCCAACACTCCAAAGGCAAAGACAGGTATATCTGCCTCTGAGTTGAATGCCAGCCTAGCCTATGCAATCAGGTCCAGGAAAGCCAGAAGTACATATTAAGACACTGTCTCTCATGTAAAAATAAGTCAAACAAACAAAAAGATAGAACTCAGGGATTTTTGTTAATGTTTCTACAAAAAGGTATACATTCAGTCCAGTTCTGTATCCATTTTCCAGAAATCTGAAGTGCCCCAATTCAAACTGAAACATCAATAAGATCTTACTAAAAGGTACTGCATGTTGTAACAGTTACAAATGGACAGATGACAACATTAGCAATGTACCTGTTGATCATAAATAATCAACACATGGCAAGAGATATGGCTCAGTAGTAGAGAGCTCTTGCTGATCTTGAATGAAGGTGGGCTCAATTGCCAGTATTTACATGGGTGATCACAACTATCCATTATTCCAAGTTCAGGGTTTCTAAGACCACCATTTGATCACTGTGAGAACCAGGTACCCTCATGGTACATATCTCCATGCATTCAGGTAAAATACTTACATTCATTTAAAACTTCAAAACAAACACAACAGGCAGGAATAAAGTCATGTACCTGCAAACCAATGACTCAGAAGGTGCAGGCAGTATTAATATGATGAATACATGCCATCCTGAAATATGGAATGACACAATCTGCCAAATTTTAAAATTCAAAATATGGGTAAAGCTTAGTACAACAGCATATACTTGGCATGTATAAAAATCTACATCCCAGGCCCATCACCCAATAATACAAAAAAAAAAAAAAAAAAAAAAAAAAAGCCAGGAATGTTGGCCCACCTTTTATCCCAGAAATTGGGAGCCAGAATCAGGAGGATCTCTGAGTTTGATGCCAGCATGGTATACAGAGCTCATTTAGGATAGCAAGGTCTACACAGAAAAACCATGTTTCCAAAAACAAACAACATATAAAGCACAGAATATCATTCACATTTCAAAACAGAGAAATGGAGATATAGCAAGGGAAGATTGGACCAAGGCAAGACTGAAGCACAGAAGAACAAACATCAAATCCTGTACCTCTGTCTCAGATGCATGGAGCTTCAATTTCAAAGGGCTTAGGTAGCCATATACCTGTAACTTCTCATACATCTCTCTCTTTGATTACTTCCACTCCCTGTATGCAGCTAGCTCTCCAAGAAAGATGTCTCATGGCTTAGGCAACTCATCATCTTGGGGTCACAAAATGCAATGCAGGCTGTTGTGAAATATTACTTTAAGATGTGTTATATTTGTCTATGCTGTGGAACATTTGTTTTAATGATGCAAAGATGTGTTACATTATTTTATGTTGCATTTGTTTAACTCTGTGAAGCTGTGATACTTCTAAAGCCTGTCTAAAATACTTGATTGGTCTAAGAAAAAGCTGAATGGCCAATAGCTTGTCAGCAAAAAATAGGCAGGGACAGTAGGCATAGAGAATAAATGGAAGGAGAAATCTGGGAGGAAAAAAGAAAGAAGGAGGAAGAAAAGGACAGGATACCAAGAGCCAGCCACCCAGCTACACAGCAAAAGCCCAGAGGCAAAATGTAGATGGGATAATTTAAGAAAATCTGGCTAGAATCAAGCCAAGCTAAGACCAGGCATTTGTAAAAAAGAACAAGCCCCCATGTTTGTGATTTATTTGAGAGTTGGTGGCAGGCCACCAAAACAGTAAAGAGTAAAAAAAGAAAAAAAAAACAATATTCCAGGATTCATCCTCACAGCTTCATGCAATGGACTCTCACAATCTCCTTACTGTGTTTCTGACTTTGCCAAACATAGATGCCTGCAACAATGCTGAACTGTAAACACAAACTAAGAATCCCTTTAATCATGATTCATTCTTGTTTCCAGGACCACAACATGATGAGTGATTCTGCAAAGTTTGATTTCTTAACTGGAGTGGAAACTAACATTCATGAACAGCAGGTGCAGCAGATTTTGTATGAAGCTGCTTCCTGGGACTAGGAATCACTTTGCTTACTCCTATAAATGGAAGGTCTAGCTGGATGAGTCTTTCCCTTAGGTCACCATGCTAGGCTTCCATTCCATAGCAAGGGCATTCTCTATAATGATGATAAACTCCTTGAAAATTCCAGCCTGTTTCAGCACTTGACTGCCATCTGAAACTACCTTTTCATTTTCATTTATTTCTGCCTCAATTGTTTTTTTTTCAGCTGTAGACCTGAATGAGTCATCAGTAATAACAATCAAAAAGATTCAATACTCCTAGAAAACTTAACTAACATGACTATAAGTTTGATTATCATAGATGATCTGTATTTCTTAATTATACATTTTAAATTTTAAATGAATTGCATAAGCTAATACCTTAAATAAGGGTAGAAAATACATACAGTATAACAAAATTAACTTTTTCCCTTTTTAAAAAAGATTTATTTATGTATTTATTATGTATACAATATTCTGCCTGCATGTGTCCCTGCAGGCCAGAAGATAGCACCAGATCTCATTACAAGTGGTTGTGAGCCACCATGTGGTTGCTGAGAATTGAACTCAGGACCTGTGGAAGAGCAGTCAGTGAGTGCTCTTAACCACTGAGCCCCCAAAATTAACTTTAAATTTGTATCAATAAACCAAATCCAGCCAAGTTGTAGTGGCACATGCCTTTAATCCCAGCACTTGGGAGGCAGAGTCAGTTGGATTTCTATGAATTTGAGGCCAGCCTGGTCTACAGAGAGAGAGAGATCCAGAACAGGCACCAAAACTATGTGGAGAAACCCTGTCTTGGAAAAAAAATACATATCAATGTAAAGTATTTTGAGATTACCAGTTGTTTTCTGGATCAAAGTAGATTCAATAATCTACCTTTTTGTAATATCATTTCTATATTATACATTTCTATATCATATCCTCCTTTCTTCTTTTAGAAAGAGATTGACTATGACAAATAACAATTTGTAATCAAACCCTAAACAAAGACAAACATACATAATCCATTTTTTGGGAATGTAGGTATAGTTTTCTAGGCTACTTCCTACTGATTGGGGGCACTATTAATCTTATAGGAACCCTAAGAGAATTCAGGATAATAGCCAAGTCCTGGGAAGACCTGTTATAATCTTTGTCAAGATTTAGGAGGTCTCACTTGATCAAATCTGATCCATCTTAACCTGAAACAAATCCACAGCCTCTTGCTTCCCATGGAAACAAAAGCAGAACCTCCTTTCCAAAGCAACATATCCTTAGATCCAAATTTTGAAGTCAAGATAACTTATATATAAAACTTAGCAACCTTTACAATCAAATGTCTTTCTTCAGTTAGCTCATTAACAATAAAAATTTAGATAAAACACAATGTACATAATCCAGAAAAAAAGATTCAATACTCCATTTAAGAAATTAGCCCGCCGGGCGTTGGTGGCGCACGCCTTTAATCCCAGCACTCGGGAGGCAGAGCCAGGTGGATCTCTGTGAGTTCGAGGCCAACCTGGGCTACCAAGTGAGCTCCAGGAAAGGCGCAAAGCTACACAGAGAAACCCTGTCTCGAAAAAAAAAAAAAAAAAAAAAAAAAAAAAAAAAAAAAAAAAAAAGAAATTAGCCCATTATTTTTTAAATCTGCATTACTAAATTTCCAAGGCATGGGTAGAATAAGATTTTGGAGTGAAAATATTACAATAATGGAGCTGGAGAGATGGCTCAGGGGTTAAGAGCACTGACTCTTCTTCCAGAAGACCCAGTACCCACATGGCAGCTCACAACTGTCTGTAACTCCAGTTTCAGGGGACCTTGACACCCATGGCAAAAACACAAATGCACATAAAAATAAAATAAAAATATATTAAATATATATTAAAAATATTACACTAATGACCTCTTACTTAATTTTTATGGAGTTTATTTCTGACTGAAATCCTATAATTTCAATGTACAATTTCTGCCATTACTCTTAACATTTCCATCTTCCTGGTCCTACAAGAACAGCCAATTAAGTTCTGTGTTCAATTTTGTATGGTTTTTGCTACCTAAAGTCCTGATATCATCCACATTCTTCCAAAAGACAACATTCCCAGGTTCTACCTAGCAACAAAATCACTTTTGTTCTTCCATTTTTTGTTCTAACTTGCTTTTATGCTGTTGTGGTTAAATCCTCTAACCAAAAACTATAGGGAAAAGGGTCTGGCTAAAGAAACACACCCTGTTCCTGGAGCCCTAAACTAGGGAAAGTTGGCTCAGATCAGGGCAAAACAAAACACAGTTTGGTTCAGTCAGATCAGAGCCATCTCTGCCCCTGGCAAACTGACTTATGAAACCAACCAACCACAGAGCAGGACAGTAGAACCCTAGGCCCCAAGTCAACCCTTGGTTGACTCCACCCCCAAGACATTCTGTGTAAACTGCCCTGCCTGGTCAGTTAGAAAACAAGGCTGTTCTCTTGACCCTGATAGAAGCAGCTAATCTCCTAGACTCCCCCTTCCCAAATAAATCTCTTTCTAAAGAGTTTTAGGT